AAACACCTTCATTTAACTTGGTCGCCATCTGATGTTTAGATATATGTTTTAAAAAAGTGCATTTTATCAGAATTTGTAACTGGTATGAATCAGAACAGAGAATTTACATACCTATAAAATCTCACAAGCAATTAATATATCTAGACTTTAAAATAGCTTTTATCAAAATGATTATGCTAGCAAGGAGTCCTGAGAGGTACTAGGAAACTCAATACAAGATGGAGGATATGTGGGCCTACAAAGCAAATTACAAGAAAGCTACATCTAAGAAGAGAGACCCTGTCAAAGAAGAAAAAAAATGCAAGGAGAACAGGGTAAGGCGCAGAGGGAGAACACTGCCGGAATCATAAATTGGAGTTTTGGTCTACAGAACCCAGGAGAAGAAACACAACTAAGAACAAAGTTATATATGGTGAAAACCAAATAAAAAAGCAAGAACTAGCTCAGTTCAAGGGAGGCAGAAGATAAGTTAAGATTAGAGCACTCCTTGACTAATTCCTTAGTTCTTACCTCAGATGATCACTCAAGAAAATGAACAGTATTTTAGGTAACAGTAAAAGATAAATATGATTCTAAGTTAAGATAAAAAGTTAGAAATCTCAAGTTTAGATAACAGCAAGAAGTGTTTCTTTAAATTATTACTCTAAAACTAAAATCAGTATTATGGGAATCTTATGGAGAAAATTATAATCAGTTCTCTAATATCATGAAACTATCATTAATATAATATTAATATCATAAATATAATTAATATGAAGTTGATAAACTGTACGTTCACTGTTCCTTAGCAAGTCATCAAAGATTGAACTTCAAATTCAGACAGAAGAGAAAATATCCATCATTCTATGATGTCTCATGTGTTTTGTCCAACTTATTTTTTATAATATAAAGTAGTCAGGGCTTTAAGATGGCTTTCCTTTTATGGGTTGGATGGAAAAAGAAGAGGTGTAACAAGGGTAATGGGGTGAAAGGGGGATTTGGAGAAGGGGAACCAGACTGGAGTTAAAGAATGAAAGCAATTCATTTTTCATCACAATAGGTAACTTTGAGATGTTAAAGATAAGCTAACTAGAAACTGAACAGTGTAGTCAAGAGCAGTGACAAGTAGCAGACCATGGCAGCACAGTTTCCAGTACACACAGGAAAAGCTTTCAGCAGCACATCCTTCCCATGACACTGGCCATTTGCACAGAGGTGTGACCCAGCTTGGAATGAGCAAGCTCCAGGTTAAGTCTTAGTTCTCATGCGCATTTTCATAGGCTTGCCATTAACTTGAAGGGGTCTACAATGACTTGTGACACAAAGCTTCGGACTTTTCTAGAGAGGGCATTTTCTAGACTGTTTAACTGGTATGGTAAGACATATGCTAAAAATAAACAGGATCTTCAGACCAGGTGTGGAGTGAATTAAAGAAAGAAATGAACATGCCTTTCCCACAACCAACTCTTTCTCTCATCCCCCATCCCCACCCCAGCTTCTTGATGGAGGATATAATATGAATATCATACTAGCTGACCGGTGCTTTCTGCTGCCTTGACTTCCCCACCATGGTGAACTGCATTCTCAATATATGATCCAAAACAAACACTATTATCAAGGGTTTAGTAGCACCAAGGTGAAAAAAATGGATGTGTAAAATCCAAAGTAAAGCTATTCAGCTATTCTTAACAACAATTTTGAGTGCATAGAAGTTCATAGAAATATGTAGACTTTGGCTCTGGTTACTTTCAATGTGTCTGTGTATCTGTATTTGTGTATTGTGTGTTAGTTTATTAAAAATTAAAAATAACTAAAGTGTAAAAGTTCTAAAATTTAAAAACATCTAAAGACACTAAAAATGAAGAAAATCCCAGCTGGACAGGATTAGCCTCAGATACAAATGTTAAACTGATCAATTAGTGTGATTCTTTTTTTTTTTTTTCGTAGGTTCTATAATTTCAAAATTTTCCCAGTTTTCTTTGGTTTAAAATTATATCAAATCATTCTATTACAAAGCTATTTAATACACAACTTACACTGAAATTTGTAAAAGAAGGGATGGCCATAGGAAAAACTAAAGAAAAGCTAAGTAACAGTGAAAAAGAATGTCATTTATCATGACAGTTACAGCCAACCTAAAAAGGGTCACTTAATGCTAGGAGAGGGAACAGAGAAAGAATGTTTGGTATTAAAAATAATTCTTAACTTTGAGTTGTAAAGCAGCTAATGTAGGGATCACCTCTAGGCCACAGCTTACACAAAAAAAAGAAAAGGCAAACAAGAGATAATTTGATTTTTTTTCAAATGAATTCATTTTCTCTCTCATTGCAAATAATAAGACAATATTTCTAATATCAGAGTTAAAACCATGAGATGAACTCAAATGAATGATTAAAATGAGAAAAACGGACCCTTGCAGTTTGCAAGAACTCTCTACTCCTAGATTGACTATAAATCACAAATATACCAGAGTCATTGGGAGTGTGCTTCTTGTTTTACATTTTGATACAATATAGAAAACTGACAAACATTCTTTTCAAAAGGCCTTTGAAGTTCAACTCAGTCTCAACTTTAAATACATTATTTTATATTGAGATGATTTGTCACAAATATTTTCAGGTTAAAAAAAAATCAAGATATCAAGATGGCCATTAAGTGCTGACATGAACTACAGTGTTGTGGGAAGCTTTCTATTTTCTCTCTCTTGTTTTGCACAGTAAGAGCTCCCACCAAAGAGACATAATAAATAAGACACACAGGACTTACCTTAACAGCAAACTGCTCAGGTTCGCATAAGTTGTTGTAGTCACTCTTGAACTGGGACAATGAATTCAATTGCTCTTCATCAGGCAGATGCTTTAGTAAGTTCTAAAAATTAAAACACAGGAAAAGTACCTTCACTATCTGCAGCTATCCAAGATTGGGGAAATTAAACAGTAAACTGTGGAACAGAAACCAGTCAAGAAGTTCATCTTTTTTTTTTCTCAGATAACCTTCCTTATCCTGAGCCTTAAGCAACAGGCCGCTCAGCTTGGAAACACTCAAATTTCCTTGCCTCTATCCCAGTTATTATATATTCAAATCAAGCACTCCTGAATATTTATTTCATTAGCTTATAACTGAGAAAGGAGAACGCAACCTATACCAAAAGAACAGCTTTCTCACCTGGATAAATATGATCCATTACTTTTCAGCTTTAGGGAATTGAATGTCAGAAATCTCAGGCAAATCCAAACACATTTCAGACTTTACTCAGGGGGATCAAAGAAATCATAAGTTGCTACCGAAGGCAAGGGAAAGAATAGGAAAGGAATGAAGGGAATTTTAATGCAGTGCTTACAAGATTTAACTTAGAAGGATCATATTTTAATAACAAAAACTGAAGATGCTTTTAATGAGTTTTCTGATGGGGAGAAAAATTTAGAGGTGGAGACATAGGCTGAGGAACTTTGCAGATGGAATGCATATGCATGTCGCCAATGTACCTGCCTGTATCTACCATGGTCTAGAATGCACAGGTTCCTTCAGCTGGTCAGGTCTTTTGGCCATGTACAGTAGTATTTCCAACCCACACACTTAACACAATCATTTAAAGAAAAAGTGGTCCTCTCCTGACCCATGAACAAAACCTACACAAAGCCTTTGTTTCAAAATCCAATGGTAAAGTTGGTATACCAACATTAAAATTAAGGGGAGAGTAAAGGGGAAGATGGCCCCAGGTCCCAATTAGGTCAGTAGACTCAAGCAAAAGGAACCATTAACTCCATGGCATGCTATTCATGTCTCCAGGCAGAAAGAAAACTCGCCCAAAGTATCAGTAGTTTTAAATAGTAGTCTAGGGTCATACATAAAAATTAGTTATATTCAAGAGTGTGTCATAGGCTCATCTCTGGATGAAACCTTGGTTGACTGGCTAAAAATAAACAACAAAGTGGCAATTTAAGAACATCCTCAGAACAAGGTGGTCCCTTTTAATCCTGCAAGGTGAATGCAAGCATTAAAAGTATATGATTTTTGCCACATGAATATGAATTTCTCTTGTTGGAAATACCTGAGAAAAAAGTCTAGGTATTTATCTTTGTTGTTCGCTTCAAGTATTCAGCTATACTGTCAAATTCCTTATTAAATGGGACTACTCAGATTCTTAGCATTTTTTAAGATGCTCATATCTTAAAAAATAACTATCTTAGTTATATGTATCTTATTGTTTCAAAAGGATATTACAAATTTTCACCTCAGTATTTGGATGTTCCATTGAGGAAAACTCGTGATTTATGAGAGTGCACAACCTTCTTCTCCCTTCAGTTCCTTACTAAATTTCCCATGGGCATTGTATAGGCACTGCAGTCTATCATCGGCATTCACTGGAGTATTGCTAGAAATAATACCTCCATGCTACTCAATTATCCTCTCCTTCTCTATGTCCATGTCTTACGGGACCATTTTAAGTACTTTTGGCCTCAAACATATAAAGATTATGTTTATCCAATCCAATTTCTACTTCTCATCAATCTCAACAAAGCTACACCTATGTTGCATTATAATTATACATGGAAATGTCATTACTGCTGGCAAAATATTAACACCAAAAAGGCAAAGTCTCTGACAGACGCTCATACAAAGCCTTATGCACAGTATATACAAGAAAGTGTTACAATGCAATGCTAATTTGTGTTTATTTTCAATACATGAATAATGGTGTGCAAATGTAGCATAAAAATAAACACACTTCCAGCACATTGTATATTAGTAGCATATCAAAATGAAATGACAGTGAACAGTGATAACAAAAATAGTGATTATTACACAATAATGATTTGCTTCTACATTGACACTAAAAGGAATTTTTAAAAATTAAATGTTAAGACTTCAAATAGTGTGAAATTTCTATTTTATACTGAACATATAAAAGATTATATAATACATGTGTGGAGAGGTGTACATTTTCTTAGGTTTTTCAAATCATTCACTGGCTTTATATTTACTAAATATGTTATAAAGAACAAAACAAACTAGATCCAAGATGTGCTTGTCTACTCACCCAAAATCTTTGAAAATATCTGCTTAAGTGGCAAAAGGAATCAAAACTACAGTTGGAATTCCAGTTATCATCGATGGTCTTAAACTGGGGTGAATAGCCTGGAATAGCTCAGTGTTGAGTATAATCAACAGGGGAGAACAGCAGTAGCAGGAAGATGGGATGAGGCAAAGGAGGAGAGAAGGGTACAGTGATAACTGCCTACAAGATGAAAGAGGGTCCAAGGTAAAAGAGGGAGAAAGAAAGGACTCAAGACCTGCCAAAACCTGACTTCAGCTCCGTGAGAACAATGCTGGACCTTCTACTTCACAGCAATTCAAGACAGTCAATACCTTATTGCAATCTGTTGAAATTGCGGTGAATTGTAACAACAAAAGGAAACTAGTACATTAAGAAATTATACGAAGGTGTACCTATATGGACATTAGTTACAAGTGCAAATGAAATTTTTTTTCCTTTCTCTAGACCACAAAATGCACATAATTATCAAAAACATCCATGTAATCAAGTTGAAAGCTACTCTGAATATTAAACAAAACTCATTATAAGAAATACAAATATGTATTGTGTAGAAAATTTTTTCTTTAAGGAACTAAGCATCTGCTCTCAGCAAGAAGCCACATACACAGTCAATAACAAACAAGGAAGTCTAGTTTTATTTTTTAAAAAAATGCTACAGGGGAAAAACAATGTTAAAGAAAAGTGGTTGAGTTGAGTAGTTTGACTCCAGGCCATTCGGTGCACAAATAATCTCAACTAAGAGCCAGTTCCACAGGACTACAAACAGGAAAGCCAAAACCTGGAACTTCAAGAGGTATCAGTTACTGATGGTTAAAAACATCTAATGAAGTTTAACCATTGTTCACAATTATAAACAATCCTTGGTAAATCTCCCCATTCCCTATGGAGCACCACAAGGCATCTGCATTCCCCTGCCTGAGCCTCCAGAGGACAGAGATCACGGGCAAGGGTCACATGGCTTGTTTTCCTTACCATTATTATTATTATTGTTGTTGCTGTTGTTATAAGTGATATAATGATATATTTTGTGTTTTAAAACATATTATTATTGTAATTATTTTTATTTTTATTTTAGAACTTGCAAGTCTATTCTTGTCAGAACACAAAATGGAAGAATTTCTCTCATCACATAATATGTTCTGCTTGTCCAACTTCACATTGAGTCATGGGATACATATTAGACCCCTTATGTGTAGTTCAGTCCTTTTGGTTCAACACTGTGAACTCGATAACAAAACATTAAGGTGAAGACACATTTTTTTTTGTTTGTTTTTAGAATCTTTTTAGCCTTTGGAATGAATGCAAGGGCTTTAGAAGCAAGGCCTAGGTACTCTGGGAGCACAGCAAACAATGCCTGGAAGAATTTCATGGAAAGCGAACAACACGAAGCCAGACTTCTTCACTCACTTTTACCAAACAATGATTTTACTCCAGAAGCCAAAGGAAAACACATTCAACAAGGCTATAAAACAAATTTTAATTAACATGCCACTAGTCTTAACTGTAACAAAAACAAAAACATGTATGTAAAATTCAACCATTTCCCTTCAGAAAGAGTCATTTAAAATAATTGAAATGTAATCATTTTGATAGCATTATATTTAGCTGCAGTTAAGAGAGGAGGCAGAGTTTTATCTCCTGGCAATGCAGAAGTTATGCTCAAACTAATTATGCAGCAATGATTTTCCAGTTGAATGATTTGGGCTAAGAATTTTGCTTCATTTACAGATTACTATTTAATGAGAAGCTTGCAATGAAATATTGGAATTTAAGCTGTGTCTGTTTGTTTACCTGAATCAAAGACTCTGACAACTGTGTTTCATCCACTTCCAATATCATCATCTTGATTTCCTCGTAAGGCACCCGGAAGGAGCTCAGGAAGATTGCTGAGAGAGGGGAAAAGAGCTATAATGTATAAAGTAATAAAGGGATCCTAAAGGTAGTTCGAACTATTAAAATCAGAGTGTGTACACATTTTATAGAACTTCTGTGGAGCAAAGTTCATTAATACAGTATATGCTTCCCTCCAGCTAGAGCTGGAGCCAAAGAATCCATCTTGGTGTCCTCTGTAGGTGTCACAGCCAACCATCGGAATAGTGCCAATTTTCAAGTGATTTAAAACAACTTAAATATGTTTGATATGCTATAAAAAACCATCATGTGTAATGAAAATGATAAAATTCCAGTAAATGCATTTAATATTTGTCTATGCATACATTATTGACTTGTATGATATTTTTCCGGCACTACTAAATAATTCGAAGAAAACCAACATTTTTACAACATTTTACAAGTACTAGCAGCACAGTACAATTTAAAATACTCTAGAAAATATGCTAGGGAAATAGACTTGCATTTAACTAAGTATTCAACTTTAGAATACTTTAGAAAATTGAGTCTTACAATGAATTAAATATATGGATAAGGTATGATAATATATTGTTGGGAATCCCCAATGTTACTTAGGTTTTCTGTATATTTATTAACATGCATACATTGTTGTATAATCTAATAATTTTTCAAGAAGAGATGTTAACATATGCAATTATTTGCTGTGCTTTAGCTATATTGCGTTGCAGGGGAACCAACCATTACCCTACTGCCACATTGATACATTAGAAATTGATGTCTGTTCTTAGCTGGTCATGATGGTTTGTGGCTTTACTGTTAGCAATGAAGAGGCAGTGAAAGGATGATGGCAAAATTAAGGGCAGCTTGAGCTAATCAGTGAAATACATCTAAAAGCCAGTCTTTTCTTGTACCCAGTATAATTGAATATTTTTAAGATTTTGTTACTGGGCTTGCCTTTGGCCAAGAAACAATTGCATATACACATACCATGACTAACAAAGCTCTAAACCCCGAACTGAAACCTTTCTCAATTTTGAGACACAGTATATCTACTGTGTTCTCACTACCAGCTTTAATTTTTTTTTTTTGACCCCAAGAAGTCACAAGATATGGAGGCCTATTATCCATATTCTAAAAGCAGGACAAGGGGGGGGGATCCAAAAGATGCGCATATTTCTGGAATTAAACGGGATAACCTGCAGCAGTGTTATCTAGCAAGCAAAAATATAAAAACCATATGATCACAAAGGATAATAAAGGAATAATTCAGAGGAGGAGAATGAAATCTAATCATCATAAAATGCACTAAACTAGCTGTAGGAGAATAACTAAAATTGAGTATAAATGACAAAAAGAAATAAAACAACACAGCAAATAACCTCAACTTGGGGGGGAGAAGCATCTCCTGAGGGCAGAGGCATAGACAAAGGAAAAAGCATGCAGGATCCATGAACTGAACACAGAATGAAAGAAATATGGGCAGTAGGGAGATGTTAGTATTCAGAGTTTTATTTCACCTTTAAGCACAAGACAAGTAACACATCTGAAAAAGAAATGCTGCAAGGTTTTCAGATCACTCATGAAGTTCGAAGACAGTTATGTTGAAGACTGGGGAAGAATAATGTAACATTGACTTCGAACATCAAATATGTGATCCAAGGGTTAACACACAGTCATGCAGTTTCTACCATAATTATCAAAGGAGATTCTAGGATGGAGTACCCTGGTAAATGCCCAATAGCACTTTTCTTACAAAACTCCTTGGGAGCTACATTTAGTATGAAGAGTGTCCAATGTTACCCAAGAAAGTATGAATCAAGTACAACAAGCAGTCAGTGAATGAAATCCTATGCTGTCATACCCTCATGCATTAAAGTGGTTTGATTCCATTTATGTAAAATTCAGCACTAATTGATACCACACTTACTGTTTAAGAGCAGGTAAACAGAACAGACATAAGTATAAAAAAGGAAAGTTAGTGCTTTATCAAAACTTGGATAAGGAGGGAGACAGAAAATTGGAGACAGTTATAAATAACCCTCTAAAGCACTGTTTTCTTTAGCCATGAGTGTTGATTGTTAAATTACAGCTCATATTTTATAAGCCTCTCCTAAGTATATGAATACATACCATAACAAGATAGCTAACATAAGCTTAAATGAAGAGTATAAAAAGAAAACACATTGGGCAACTGAGAGATACCATAAGACATTCAGGGCTGTCCTCTCCCATGGGGGCCTTGGAGGTCTTGTTCTTTGTCCTATCTCCTGAGACACAATCTCTAAAGCCAAGGATCACTTTTATTAGTTGAAGGGAATTTTTGTTACTTGAAGGTATTGGGCCACACTAGACAGTTCAGCTTAACAATATAATATATGATATGGGTTTGAGCAACGGAATCAGCTCTATTTCTGAAGGAAGTGGAAACTAAGAACAGCAATATAGGGATAGACTATGAAGAAGTTCCAGTAAAATCTCAGAATACCAAAGGATTCCATTCTTAGCAATATTCTGAGCAGTGTGTGAACAATTCTCCAGTGAAGGAATCTAGAAGCTTGAAGCCAGGGTTCCACAGTGTTTGGCCCACTTACCCTTTTCCAGGCCTGATTTTTATTAACTGTTATATGAGATAAAGCATACCCCAAACTATAATACCTTCAGTGAATTCTAGAAGTCCTTTTAATGAATTCATAAAGAACATTATAGTTCTGCTGTAATGACTCTAAAGTTAGTGACACAGGAGAACTGAAAAGTCAGAACCTAATAACTAAACTCAACTTAAAAGAAGACAGTACAAAAGTTTATTTTTTAATAATTAAAAGTTACAGAGAGTCACATAACAAATATTCAACTGAAAGATCCAAGAGGTGCTGGAAAATGAATGCCATCATTTTGGCACATTTGACACATTTCACAGTGTGACAGGGCAGACTACAATCGCAGTGTGGTCTCACCTAAGTGCAGCATTCAGCTTTTGTAAGCAGCTAGGTGTGCCTTCAGTGAGGCTATTTATAAATATTTCAACCCTTGGATTAATTCTTAGATTTCAGGGATTTTTCCTTTAAAGCTCTAATTCCTACTTTTAAAGAATCTGGCAGAAGACATGAATCATATAAAAAAAAAAGAGAGAGAGAGACTTGTCTTGATTCTAGATTTCTATTAAACTAGTTGGGACCTGAGTCATTGTCAAAACCTTCATGAATTCAACACATGGGAAATAAGTCACCTTTAAACAAGTTAGGTAAATAAAGGAGTGGATTTTGGTTGTTGCGTCATAGACAGACAGCATGTTTCAATGGTGAGGCACATACATCACTTTTCTCTTTGATAATGCACAGAAGGGAATCTCTCTATGTCAGTGTCAGCATCCTACTACCAACTACAGTTTCACTGCAACTGTTTCATTCTAAACCAATTGTTACTGTCTAGACAACTTTCCAGTTAGGGGTTAATACCTCAAGACCCGATTTTATAAAGAAAAAACAACTCTGACTCCAACCACCCTGTTACTGGCAAACAGAGTCACTAAAGCACTGTAGTGTTTAAATCAGAACACTTGGCTTTAACCTGAAAGGGTGATAATAATCATATATGTATTACAGTCAAATATGTTGTGATGTAGCTTCTGAGTCTTTTCGTTCAATTGTTTTCTAAAACATGTTTCTCAATTAAATGATTTAGAATAAACCCACTCTACCTAGAGCAACCAACATGAACAGGATCCTTCTCCAGGGCAATAATGTGATTTTGTAAACTATAAATAGGGATGCACATATATTTTATGTATGTTATGCACATATGTTATGTGTGTGCTTACACACACACACAAGAACACACAATATATCTATTGACTATGTTCAGAATGAACTAACTAAAATCATTTTTTTTAATTTAAAATTTCACCAGGTTACCTATCTATGATGTCAATGCTGAAAGTAATCTAGTGGGTTGTAATAAAAGTGAAATAACAAACATGGAAATTGCACCAAAGACAGTAACTATTACTACGGTGATTTACTACCTCTGAGTACATGACATTTTAGTGCATGCTATGTAATTTACAAAAAAAATATATATGTATATATATATATATAAAAAGTTATATAAAAAGTTAATTATCCAACTTCAAGAAGAATAGTTAGACTAACGTATGCATTCAAAAAGCTCCCTTTGGAACCATAAAAAAAAAAAAGGTCATTTTAAGTAAAGATTAACAATTTTAATTCAAGATGTGGGGGGTTTTCAAAACATGATTACTTTTCTGAGATTAAGCAGTATAACTTTGACAACATCCAATTAGTAATACAATGCTTCCATGTGAGACAGTGTTATTGCAGTGAGAAAATTCTCATATACACATATTTAAGACCTAAAATTTCAATAATGTAGTATGCATGCATAAAAATATTTCCAATGGAGGAAAAAAATAACACATCCCTTGTTATAAGAATGGACAACTCTGAAAGAGACCAAACCAACAATTAAATGCTTCCAACCATAAGTGATACCATCTCCATTTACGTTATTCACTGGCTCAAGCATGTTACAAGGTAATAGCAATATAAAATAGGCAGAGACATGCAATCAATGTATGCTCAGAAAAAGCAGACTGAGTATTGACCAGTAGCATTAAGGGTACCATATTAGCCCATAAAGATGTAATCTTAGCCTATATTGGAGAGAGGATTATTCTCTGCCACAGTGAGGATGGAGATTCATTTCTGGATCATTCATAGAAGGACTATAAAGTCCACCTTTTGCACATACTGCTCTTGTATAACTCTCCTTAATCAATGACATAAAACATTATCCTCTGCCTGGAGAATTGTTTGGTTCCAAAGTTTGCTAAAAGCTCACTTGAGGCATGTGACAAGTGAGAAATAGACTAAAAGACATGTTAATATTCCTCATCCTCTAGATTCTTCATATTGCATCCCTTTTGCATCACCAGAAAGTAATATACACAGGTCAAATCATCTCAGCTCCCAGCAGAACTCTCTTTGATGCATTTAAGATACAGTAAGAAATGAATTAGGAACAAAATTATTGCCTTCTCTCATAATAATTCAGCCAGGAAGACAATTGAACACTGCATATTTAGCTCCCATAACAGTAATTAAATCTAAAATATTTCCATCAGTGCTTTTGAGGAAAAGGCTTTGAGCTGCTCAGGTGGGAAAATGGAATTCATTTCATTCCTCATCTTTATTTCCATTAATATTCTAACTGCTGTCCTGCATGATCAAGTGTCACAAATAATAGATATTCAGAACAGATAGATTACTGATTCTTTTATCAAGGTGTGATGTCGTTACCTGAATTCCTGGTCTTTAATACTTGAACAAAGAACTTTGAAGAGTTGTTCATTTTGCACTTGTGGGAGGCAGAATTTCATCCTAAATTCTTTTCTTATTTTCCAGTACATATTAATCTTTTCACGAATTTAATCTCATAATTTGCATGAAGGAGAGATATATTTGGATTTAGCATTCAAGCAAAGAAATTAAAATAATGGAAAACAAGACACAAAATGAGCAGATTTCAAGAAAAAATCCACAAAGAGTTAATATGTTAATGATATTCATATGCGATACTTACAAAGGTTCTGAGCAATTTTAGGATCTAGAAATTTAAGTTCCTTAATTCTTTTCTTAATAACTTTCTTCTCTTCAAAATCATTTGTATTCATTTTCACTGTAAGACAGAAGAGAGATGGATGCTAGAGTCAGTATGATCTTCAAGGTTAATGGGCAGAAAATAAACTTTTTTCATCAAAAAACTTAACATGTATGTATACTAAATCACACAGTAATGAAAATACAATTTTTTATCATCTACTGCCCTGGATTTACACTGCTTCAGGGAAGCACTGGTAGTTCTTAGGCTTCAAAATTACTAAGATTAAAATGCAGAGTGTTGGCAAAACAGTTATAATGTGGATAATGACAGCATGAGGTGTGAGAGTGTACATAGTAAGACATAAATGAAATGAGAACACAGTTACCGCAGTTGATAAACTCAATTTAGAAATGGTTAAGAAATGATCCCACTAATACTAAACAAAAAGAAAAAAACTAAATGCATAGCTTCTTTGTATGATATAGCATGTATATTAAAGAACAAACCTATTTCAGTAATTATTCAGCTAATTCAGTATTTTTCATAAACACCACATATTTTTATTGTAAATTATATTCTCCCTAAGGGAACACAAATTATACTCCTACATACTGCATAAACACAGGGTTGATTTTATTGTATGGTTATTTTCATTCTTTTATTGAATAAGGAATACTAAACAACAGCTGAAAATGGTAGGTTAAGAGATGTAGGGGGTGATCCTATACCAACCAGACATCCCCAACATCATAGACTGTAAGGCCTAAATACAACTGACTGTAAAATAAATGGTAGTCAAAATATATTGACAAACTGGTAATTTTTCAGTAAGAACTGCAGGGAAAAAAAAAAGACAAGTCTAAGGCATACTAGTCAAGCATGATCTTCCTGAGATAATGGGTAACTAATTCAAAGCTGGAAGGAGAAAAGTGAGGTGAGAATGTGAGAATGTACTGCAGGGAGGAAGGTGAGAAAATGAGAGAGAGAGAGAGAAAGAGAGAGAGAGAGAGCATGCGTGCATTTGTGTTTGTGGGTATGCCTGTGTAAGACACATATTCAAGAGTGTAAACAACAAAGTTTTGAATACAATATGAAGAAAGAGCATAAGTAAATTAAATGACACTGAAATAAAAGCATGAAGCTAATTATCCAAGGTCTTTAAAGCCACTCTAACACAGTAGAGTATTATTGGTGGAGTACTGAGGAGACACTGAAGCATCTTGTAGATGTATCTAAAGAACTCCACATTAGGAAGGACTCAGAGCTTCTGAAAAATAGTACATATAGTGACTGAATGGTGAGAAAGGAGAATTAGAATAATCACAGTGGGTAAATATCAACATGGAGAGAATGAGTGAGCACAAGAGTTGCATCAACAGTGGGAACCAAACTAATTATTGCTCCAAAACAAGTCTTCCTTCTGAGTTCCAGGCTGGATATCTAACTGCTTAATTTCAACATCTGTAACTGAATGTCTAATAGAAGTGTCAATAGCACATGTCTAAAGTCCTGAAGTACATCTCCTTCCATATCCCTCTTCCAACATCAACCCTTATTTCAGGGGCTCAAACTGAAAGGCTTGCAATTCTATGGCAACCATAGACAGTGAGTCTAGTGGGTCTTAGCTCCAAAGAACCTAGGTAACTAACAAATCAATCCAAAACACCACCCTGGCTGCTACTTCTCTCCTCCTTAGGACTACCATCTTTTCCCACCTTGATCACAACTGTTCCCTAACTAGTCTCTCTTGCTGCATAACTACAAATTATCTACACCCTCTTTGCCACACAGCAAAGAAAGAATTCTATTCAAACTCCCTAAAAAGCCCTTGGATGCCTTCCACATATGCAAACTCTACACCCAGCTTTCCCAACATCATTTCTTTGTCTTTGAGCTTTTTACTCCAGAGCATTATTTTTTTCTTTCTTTTCCATCAGAAAGTAGGACTGCTCATATTTGCAAAGGACTCCGAGTCAGCACTGGGAGCACATGTATATCCATAATCCCCTTGGCACTGTTCACAATAAGGACATCATTGGAGTAGCCTATGTGTACCGCAAAGGCTGAATGGATAAAGAAGAAACAATCCACACACAAAGTAATATTGTTCAAAGAACAACCAAACCCAGGCATTTGCAGGAAAACTCATCTACCTAGAGTTTGATGAAGTGAACCAGACTCTAGAGGCAAACACTATGTGTGAAATACACTATGTGAAATCTAAAGAAAATCTTAAAAGAGGCAAAAGCAGGAAGACAAATATTAGGGGAAAAAAACTGGATTGGAGAGAATGATACAAGAGGTTAAAAAAGATAATGGAACATAGAAATTTTCAATTTTATATTACAAATGGATGAATGTATCACAATGTAATATTTTATTTTGTATAATAAATACGATGCAAGGGACCATCATCTACCAATGCACTGTTAGTAGCAAGAGGGAAACCTGTATACCAGGTGCTCAGTAAGTGTCTTTCCTGTAGATACACTCCTGTATATAAATGTAGGAATTCACAAAGTAGAAGAGAAGAGAGGTACTGCTATTTTACTTGCTGGCAAATTAGGCATAGGTTTGAACTAGGACAGCTTTCAACATATTCTCCATACGGTCACATCCAACAGGCAACTGGACATGAAGACATAAAGGCAAGAAGTCTATAATGGACACAACACTTTCATTCTCAGCAGTCATGCCATGGTTGCATGTTTCCTAGATGCTAAATAAATTACATAAAAATCTCCTTCCCAGTACATAATACCTTCTGTCGTTTTACACTGCCTAAAATGTGGCAGATGAAATCTATTAACAATAGCTGAACTCCATTTGCTTAAACTTACCAAATAATATCATCTACTTTTTAAAGTATAATCTACATTTTATTTTTACAGTTTCTAAAAGAATGGCAGGCTCTAATTTTCAAGATTAAGTTCTCACCAGCACACTCTCACATGCTGAAACTCTTCTTAATGTATTCTGATGAAAATGCCAACGACAAGGTAAACTAAGTTTTGTTTTGTTTTGTTTTTGTTTTTCAAGACAGGTTTTCTCTGTATTGTTTTGGAGCCTGTCCTGAAACTCACTTGGTAGACCAGGCTAGCCTCGAACTCATAGAGATCCGCCTGTCTCTGCCTCTGAGTTGGGATTTGTGTGCCAACAACACCCAACAGTAAGCTAAGTTTTAAATGCCTTCTAGTGAAAACTCTATGAGGAATGGCATTGAACAGTCTTCAGCTTCTCCTATCACCTCACAAGAGAGACCCTCCAGGGTAAGTGATCTTAAGCAACACATCAAGGGATTTTCCTGCAGTATAGGAAATATCACAATAAAAAGTAAAATTTACTACCAATTTTGCAACTTCAGTTTTCACTAAGAGACTAAACAAATTGAACCAATTCTCCCTGGTTTAAAAGAGACTCTTGCTTAGTTTAAAGTATCATTGTACTCAGAATGCAACAAATGTATTGTTTCTTCACCTTCACTCCTACACAGCCAAAGGATGGGAAGTCCATGACAGGATGGACACAGTAAGAATAATCAGTTTCCCACAGAAAAGAATGGAAACAAAACACATATGGCTGAAATAGTTTGTAGTAATAAGGTACAAACGGTAAGTCTACTTAGCGAAAAAGATTGCAAACAAACAAGCAAACATCCAGGAGCTGTAGAAGTGAAAAGGTTTGCTTTTTCTTTAAAATCAGCCAGATAGTTGGCAACTTCTAATCAGTGGGAAAGCACAGGAATGACCTATCTAAATGTCATAGATAAAGCAGCAGTTGGGAGAGAACACTTAGGGGCCCCTTCACACTTCTGCCATGGTGCCTTTCACCAACATGTCCTTAAAAAAGCAGACAGAGGTTGGTGACATTCTCCTTAAGTAAATAAGCTTCCTTTTTGTGTAAAGTACATAACTTCCATTATTTTGTTATAGAAACAGAAAACAGACTAATACAACAAAAAGAAAAATGACTCATTACAGAAAAATATGACTAGAGGAGAGTGATCATTTATTGGGAATAAAGCTTTTGCACAAAATTCCATTCACATTTCTATGCTGGTAATATGTCTGTGAAACATTAACAGGCTATGCCCCGGAAGCAAAGGAGAGCTTGATCTGACAGTACACAGTTCTGCATCTCAGCCTCATGCCCCGTCCCTGAATCTACTTATAAGAGCATTGTCCTTTGAGAGAAGATGGAAGAGTGACACAAAATGATAATTGCTCTCATTTAACCCTCCCAGCACAGACATAAGCAATGGCATCAGAGTGCACAGGCAAAACGTAACTCCCACCAGTAAAGCAAACAAACCCCCCCATACACACATGGGTGGAGCTCTGCATCTGCGGGTAGTACAAACACCTTTGCCTCAAATCTAGATTTTTTTTTTTCCTGCATAACATGAAACTCTGAGTCAGAGGGTCGATTATCCAAACTGTCTATGCTTGTGAGCTAGCCATTTTGCTATTAGAAGTATACCTTTAATCCTACTTCCTAGCCATGCAAAGTAACAGCCCATTTCTCCATGAGAAGATTGAGTTGTTCAAAAGTGCCCACATCACTAACACATCATTAAATGCCCCCATCACTAGCACAGCGTAAAGCCCCCGATCACTAACACAGCATACGCTGCATTGCATACAGACTTGGCTTTACATCAGAATTAAGTCAAAGGTGACGAAACTTCCACTGGTGCCAAGAGGCATGAACTGGAAAAGTCTTTTAAAACTAGATCTACACTTTATTCCTTTCATACGTTCAAAGTTTCAAAAACAGTGGCAAAATTACATGAAGAATCTCCTTTCAAAATCTTTTCTTTCACACTAAATTTTCCATTAAAAATTACAGTTCCATGGTACATGATTATACATCTTATCCCGGTCCATTTTCCATTATGTTCTCATCAGATTGATTTAAAATGTGACCTTTGAGAAATTAGATTGCATATAAATTTTATCATAAATTCCATATAAATTTTATCAGGCATTATTTCACTATTAAAAAAACAGAATATGCAGGTCAAAATGTATTGGTAGCTAGAATATAAAAGAACAGCTTTTCTTCTCACAATGGAA